ATATAATAAATAAAATAATAATATATATATATATATTATATATATATATATATATATATATATATATATATATATATTTATATATATATATTATATAAATATTATTTTTTTCTTTTATTAAATAATATTAAAGGGTTAAGGTAAAATGTTTTTTTCCGATGGAAGTTTAAAATATGTAGGTGAATGGGAGAATAATTTATATCATAATTATGGAGTTTTATATTATAAATAAGTTTAATAATTTTAAGATAATCTAATTATTGATATTAAAAATTTCGGAAATAATATATGTTATTAAGTAAAATATGATGGATAGTTTTAGAAAGGAAAAAAGCATGGAAACGGTACTCTAACATTTTTTAATTTTGAATATTATTAAGGTGAATTTGTTAATAATAAAATAGAAGGCTTTGGAGCTTATTATAGAAATAATGGCGAGGTTATAACTGGAAAATGGATTGGAAATATATTATAAAATATTTTTTGATTTAAAAAAAAAAAAATTATATTATATTAAATTAATTTATATTTATATTTATATTTATTAATATATTATTATTTTTATTATTAATATATTATTATTTTAATTAAAAAAATTTAATATACTTTTTTAATTAAAGTATTTATTTTTATTAAATTATAAATATATATTAAATAAAAAAATGTAATATGATTTATTTAACTTTAAAATATAAAACGATGATTTATATACTAAAATAAATGATTAAATGATAATAAATATCATAATAAAAAATTACTAAATATTTTAGAATTTAACTTAAAACTAAGAATTATTTTAAATTCGTGAATTGTTAAAAAATAATTAATATAAAAAAAGATTAATTATATTTCTATAACCTAGTCTTTTTTTCATAAAAAATAAAAGAACAATCTTTATCTTAAAATTATTAAAAACTAAACTAAGATTTTCCCATTATAATATGTACATAAAATGATGGAAATTAATTTTTAAGAAGTTTTATTTTTTCGATTTTAGTTAAAATATAAATATTGAAAACTTAGAAATAATACTTTTATTAATTAGTACTATTAATAGACAATTTGAACAAATAAAATTATGAAAAGTTTTCAGGAAATAATATAATAAATTATGAACTTATAAAATCTTATTCTGTAATTTTTTTAACAAAAATATACTTAAATGAATAATCATTTAATGATTTTATAAAAGAATATAACGAAAATATCGAATTTGATTATTTCTTATTAATTTTAACTAAATCTATAATCTTGAATACCTTCTTAGAATAGAAAAATTAGGAAAATAATATTAAAAAGGATGCCTTTCCATTAATAATTTCTTATATAATAACTTTAGATGAAGAATTAAGAGATTTTCTATATTAATATGTTTCTGATGTATATATATATATATATATTATTTTTTATTAAATTTTATTATATAGGCATTTTAAACAAATTTAATAATTTAAAATTTAATATTTTAAAATGAAAAATAAGAAATAGATAAATAAAATTTATGTTTTTTTTCAAAAAAAAAGAAGATTTATTCTCTTCAGTTTATTTTTTAAATACTGGGAGTGATTTTTTTCTTTTAATTAGAAAATATCCGGAAATAACTTCTCATTTTGAATTTTTTTATTAAAATATTGTTAATTATGAACTTGATTGTTTAGAAGTAGATACTTATTATTCTTAATATTTACATAAATTAAGTACTGGAGGAGATTAAGAAAATAACACTTATTTAGAATAATGCGCAAAATGTAATTCTAATAAAGATATTGTATATGAATATAGTAAAGATAAATATATTTTTTTATGTGAAATATGCATTTAAAATATTCATTTAGAGTTTAGGATATCAAGATGTATTAAAATTAAAGAATAGATAGTTTATAAAGAAGAATTTGATATTTTTTATGGAAAAAAAGATTGGTAAAGTAAAATATAGATTTGTTTTTTATGCGACAAACTAGAGAAAATTTACGAAATGGAAGATATTTAAAAATAAAGGGTAAAAATATGCGAAAAATGCATATTTGAGGTTTATAAGAAAATTTTAAAGGAAAAAATGGAATATTTTAGAGGGACAAAATTCGAGTTTGAAAAAATAAAAGAATTTATTGAAAAAAATAAAAAGAATTTATGCGAATTCTGTTTTTTGGAAGAAAAAAATAAAAGTCTTTTTTCTTTTTAAAATTCTGAAAATTTTTTTTAAATGAAAATTTGCGAAGAATGTTTTTTGAAATTTTTTTTGGAAAAAAAATTAAAAATTAAAAAAGATGAAAAAAATTAAATTTTCAAATAAATTTTTATTCAAGATTTCTAAAATTTCTCGTGTATTTCTTGCTCTTAATATATATAAAATAATTCTTTTTTTATAGAACTAAGTTCCTTTGTTTATAATGTTTAGTGTATGTTATGTAAATCTTGTTTTTTTATATTTGATTAAGTTTTTAAGGAAAAATAATAAGTAGAAGTCCTTTATTTGAAATTTAGGTAAAAGTTTTATTTTGAAATTAAATAAATTCCACAAAGTTTTATTTTAGAACTTAAAGAAAAAAAAATTTAAAAAGAAAAAAATAATGAATAATTGCAAATTTAAGAAAACTAAAATATTTAATTAAAAAACGAACTTTTTATTGAAAAAAAATTGATTTTTTCTTGTCAAAAATGTTCATAAAAATATGAAAAAAAAGAAAATTTGGTTTAATTTTTAAATTGTTCCTGTTTTTTTTGTTAATAATGTGTTCTTTATTATTTCTAAAATACTTTTTTTCCTAATTTTTGTTTAAATAACAATTGTATAGTTAAATATTCATAATAACAAATCTAATCTTTTTTATAAAAAGAAAACCTAATAAAAAAAACTTAAATTTAAACTTTCTAAATATTTTAATATACTTTATGTAATATATGTTTATAAAAAAGACCTTCCCTATATAAATAAAAACTTTGTTAATGTTTATATTGTTTCGAATGTATCTAAAATACATATAAAGAATTCTAAAAAACTAAATATATAAAAAATCAATGCAAAAATTGTTAAAAATTAAGTATTTAAAAAAGTGATATTTAAGAATAAATATAGGAAATAAAAAATATGAACATTTTACTTAATACTGATATTATTTATGGAAAAGAAGAATAAAAAAATAATAGTATTAGTAGATAAAAAGTATGTTTTAAATGTTTAAATTAATAAAAAGCAATTATTTATAATAATGGGAAATTTTGTGATTGTATTTATATTTGTAGGGATTGTTTATAGGAAAATTGTGATGAAAAATATTGCTTTATTTGTATGAAATTTGAAATTTTTAATATTTTTTAAAAAGATTTATTGAAGTTTTATGAATAATGTTTATGTGGATTTTGTGGGGGATTTTTAAATGTAAAAAATAATAAAATAAACAAAATTTAATGTAAAAATTGTAAAAATATATGTTTTGTTTGACTTTTTTTTTTATTTTTTTTTTTTAAAAAAAAATAAATAAATTAACAAAAAAAATGAAAAAAAATAATTAAATAAATCAAGTATTAGATAAAATAGATGAATTTCTATGCAAAAAAGATATTAAAATAAAAGATTAAAACGAAGTAAAAGAATAAATAAATCAATTAAAAAATAAATAAGCTAATTTGAATAAATTATTAATGGCAGAAAAGCAAACTGTTAATGAATTAAAACAAGAATATGACAATTTAGTTAAAGAATTAGACTAATATAATAAATAAAAAAATAAAAAAAACAAAACTTTAAATAATGATAATGAAATTTCTCAATTAAGAAATTAAATTTTGAATAATAATGTTAAAATTGATTTATTTGATAAAAAAATAGGTTATTGTTTTTGTTTTTTTTATAATTTTTTTTTTTTTTTTTGATATAGAAGAGGCAAGTAATTATTTAGAAAAAGCTAAGAAATAAATAAATGAAAAATATTAGAAAATGTTTGAATCTAATAGTTATGAGAAATAATTAGAATATTTGAAATAATAAACTGAAATCAAAATATAAAATTGGGAATCTATTTAATTAAAAAATAAAACTATTTTAGATGAAATTAATAAAAATGAAAAAGAAATTGAAAATCTTAAATAAAAAATGTAAACTTAACAATAAAAAAAGGAAAAATATATGAAATTGGAAGAAGTATAAGTTTAAATATAAAATGAAATAAAAAATAATAATTTGAAAATAAAAGAAATGGATAAAATAAATGGTTTAATTTAAATAAAAATCGAAAACTTATAAGGAGAATAAAAACAATTAAAAAAATTATTCGATTAATCATAAGAAATTATAAAAAATAAATACTCATTAATAGAATAATAAAATTAAAATATTTAAAGATATAAAAATATATAAACTAAATCTTTTACTTAAATGAATATTTGAATTATTATTTGATTTTTTATTTATAAATTAAATATTCTTTATTACACTTTAATAAAAATACAATTATATTTCTTTTTTATATATATAAAATGTGTAAAAATAAAATATTATTGTAGTCCTTAATATTTTTCAAGTTTATAAATATATTTTTATATAAAAATTATTAATTCGAATGCTTATTTATTAAATTAATTATATATGTTTTTTCTTCTTTTTAAAAAAAGAAAAAAAAGAATTAAAACTTTTTAAAATATAAAATGAATATAAAAATTAATATTTTTTGTTATTTATTTTAAATAAAATGTTTTTTTTTTTTTTTCTTGAATAAAATATATCTTTAAATTTTTTTTTTTTTTTTTTTTAAGTAAAATGACTTTTATATAAAATAAAAAAAATTTTATATAAAAATAAAAAAATTATAATAATAATTTTTTTTACTTTTCAAATTAAAATATTATTTCATTAATAAAAAAATCTAAAAAAATAAAAATATAAAATTTCTTGATGATATTTTCATATCCATAAAACAATAGGAGAACTGGCATAATCTTATTCTCCTTATCTTGATTTTTCAATGTTTTCTTTTTCTAATTCGTATAAAGAGGCGGCTTAATCTCTTAAATAAATTTCAGGTCTATACATTAATCTCATTGGTCTACCAATTTGTACAAAACCTAAAGTTAATTTATCTCTATTACTTAAGGCATTCCAACATCCATTAATTAGTCCCTTTTTTTGTAAAAAATATATTAAAAAAGACGAAATAATAAACTTTTAAAATACTTTGATAAAATAAAGACATGGAGGTGAAAAAAATAATAAAGCGACAATCATACTTGCTTTATTATTTGCTATTGATCTACTTCTTAATCTCGCATCTTATAATCTAAAATTATGGTTTTGAATTAATATTAAATATTAAATTATTTTTTTATTTTTTATTTTTTTTTATCTATATTATATTTTACAATGCATAATTTACAAGTTTCTTCATAGAATCTTAAGGAGGAATGTTTTAACGGGTTTATGAAAGTAATACATTTTCAAATTTTGGTTTTTAGAAATCGTAAACCATTTTTAATTAATAATTACTTTTTGTTATATATAAAAAAAATACAATAAATTAATATTTCAAATTAAATTAAATATATCATTATATAATAAATAATTATATATATATATATATATATTTATATATATATTTTATATATATATTTTCCTATATTTCTAATTTTTTTTTATTTATTGATTTTTATTTTGTCTTATTATGTTTTTTAAAGTTATTTTAATATATTTTTTTTTATAATGTTTTTTATAATATAAAATATAATTTTATATATATATATATTTACATTTAAATTAAATAATATTTTTTTTTTTTTTTTTTAATATTTTATAAAAAAATATTATATTTTATATTAACTTATTTTTTTATATTTACATTTATATTTTTTTTTTTAAATAAAATATTTTTTTTTTTATTTTTTACTCTTAAAAATCTTTTAAAACTGAATATTAAAATGTTCTTTTTTATATTTTTTTTTGATTTTTATTAAATAATATAAATTTATATTATTTTTCAACTATTTATATAAGAATTATATATTTATTAATTTTACTTTTTAAAAAAATAAAAATAAAAATGTAATTATATAATCAATTTTCAATTTTATATATAAAAAATACAAAACAAATTCAAAAAATTCAAAGAAAAAATTAAAATGAAAAAAGTTTTGCCAGAATTTAACTTAAATTAAGTAAATAATTATCTTTAAGAAAATAAATTATCAAATAAAAATAATTTTATATACACGACTTAATAAACAAATAATTAAAACGGAAATATATAATAATCAATTAATAAAATATAATAAATAAGTCAAGCATAAAGTAGCATAACCTCTCCATTTTCCACTTGTACAAAATCCAATATAAATAGTATTAGTATTTCATCCAAAAGATTTTTAATTAAAGATTCATAAATAAACTAATTAGCCTCCCTATAAATAGTGTAAAATTAAAAATATTAACATTTTTTAGAAATTTAAAATCAAAGAGTATTTTTTATTTAAAAAAAATAATATTTTTATTAAATAATTAAATTTAATAAAAGAAGTTAAAATAATAATCCATATTAGAAAAATCTGAAAACAAATACAAAGAAGTAAATATAAAGATCTAAAATACAAAAGCTTAATTAATAAAATCTTAACAAATAATAAATGAATCTAAAAGTATGAATAAAAAATATACTAATTAATAAAATTCATCTTCTTAAAATTTTAGTTTTTAACATTTCAAAAAAAAAAGAGCTTATATAAAAAAAACAATAACAAAAGCATGTTTATTTTATTTTTTAAAAAAAAAACTCAAACGATAAAATATATAAAAAATTATCTTTTTCATTAAATAAGAAATAAAATAACATAAATTCACCAAATCAATCACCATAATAATTAATAAAAAAAGACTTAATAATAAATAAAATTTATAAAAATATACAAAAAAATAACTAAATATTAAATAAAAATAACTTTAACTAAAATAATAATAGTCCAAATTAATCTGTTTATTAAAATATATAATCTCAATAATAATAAAATTAAATGATATAAAAACATCTTAAAAAACAAAAATAAATCAATTTAAATTTTATAATATAGTCTTTAAGTAAATTTAATTTCAAAGACAATTAACTAAATAATATAAAAAGTTATGTTTAATAAAAAGTAATACTTTTAGGTAATAAATTTGATTAAGAAAATGCTTTTTAAAAACAGAGTTTTTTTCAAAAAATAATTGAAGTTTAATAAATCGAACAATCTATAAAAGATCTTTAAAACTATATTTAATTCTTAAAAATTCCAAAAAAATAAAATTAATTTACCCAAACAGAAAGTAATTAAATCTAATAAATAAATTAAAATGGAAAAATATTAATAATAGATATTTATTAAGAAAACGATTCATTAAAAAAACATATAATAGCTTAATAATTAAAAATAAATGACATTGAATAAAAATAATTTCTATTAAAAAAACTTCTATAAACTTTAAAAAATAAAGGATATAATATTTAAACTGATGAAAATTAAAATAAATATGAATAAATTTTATAAAATAGTGATTATTAATAAGATATATAAATATGTAAAAAATATTAATATTATTTTAAATATAATTTTTTATAAATAAAGAATTAAGTTAATCTGATTAAAGTGTAATTGAATATTATAGTAATTAATTAGATTATAAAAATTAAAAGAAAACAACTTAGTAAAACAAAGATATATTAAAATAAAAATTAGATGAATTAAATAATAAATTTTAAGAAATATTATAAGAAAAATAAAATAAATATATTAATAATTAAAATAATAATGAAAATACAATGAATGAATAATCACCTAAGCAATCTATTTAATTATGAATATGTGATTTTTTTTTAATTAAATTACAAAATGAAAAAAAAAAACGAAAATTATATAATAATTATTTGTATTTAGAAAAAAATAATAAACAAAAATTAAAATAAAAATAATATTTATATATATTATAAACATAATTCATATTTTATAAGAGAATATATTTTCTTTTATTTAAAATCAAAAATAAAAACAACTATGAATGACAGATATAAATATAAATATGTATATATTCTTTAATCATTAATATTATATATTTTTATTAAATAAATAAGTATTATTTTTAATATTATTGCTATTATTTTACAAAGCTTAATCTATTTTATAATAATTTTACAATTATTAAGAAAGTTATTATTTAATATTTTTTTCATTATTCTAATATTATTCATTCATTTTATTATTCACATCCTATATATTTTCACATTTATTTTAATTAATATTAGCAAATAAATTCCTTTAGAACTTTCCTTCAACATTAACCATTTCTTTATATTTATTATTATTTAATTAAATAGGTTCAGTTTAGACTTATTTATATAAATTTTCTTTATTTAGTCCTATTATTTATGGACTTGAGCATCCCTATTTATCCATTAAGTTAAAATTATTCGGAACATTTCTATTTTCCATAGCTTAAAATTAAGTAACATTATTCTAACTAACCACCTTATCATTATTATTATTATTATTATTATTATTATTATTATTATTATTATTATTATTATTATTATTATTATTTATAAAAGGCGAAGACAATTTTATAGAAAACTTAATAATTTTTTAACTGAGAAAATCTTTTAATAATTAAATACTTCCCTTATTTATTTATTCAAAGACTAGAAATTAAACAGAAACATTTTATTAATTTTTATTAATCAAAATATTAATATTATCTAATTATTATTAATAATAATTAATAATATTTTCTATTTCTTTTTAGCTCATTTAAGTAGTTATTCGTTCATAATTATTACTTATATCATCATAGAAGACTTTCATTTTATTTTCGAAACTTTTTAAATCGTTCATTTTTTGTTCTATTGTGTTACTATTTTATCTTAACTTCAAATTTAATTCGTTTATTAATTAAAGTTTATGTTCTTACATCATTTTTTCGATTTCTTAATAAAGTTTATTTATATATATTATCTAATCTTTATATTATTATTTTATTTATTTTAAGCAAACTTCCAATTAGTTTATTACTGAATTATTTTCAGTATTTACTTCTTATAAGCTTTCTAAAAATTCATCTAATATCCTTTTTTCCTATATTTCTTAATCTATTTAATGTATATATAAATATATATTTTTTAATAAATAATAAAATTTTACCTTCGTTATCTATAGGAACTACTAAAGTACCTTTTTATGCAAAAATAACAGCACATTTACTACACAGTCTTTAACTAAAGTCATCTTCTATCTAATATTTCACTTTCTTGTTCGGATGGAAAGGACAATATAGAATCGGATTGACATTTATGCTGTTAGGACTAGTTATTTTATTATTGCTACTAGAATGAGTATTAGTAAATTGAGAAGTTAATGTGCTTATTGTGTTTTCATAGTAGTTTTAGGATATTGGGGTTGAGTATAGTTCTTATTATTATATAATGGATGTACTTTTACTTTATTTTAATTTTAATAAAGATATTATATTTTTAATAAATTTACGCTTTTTCTTAAGAAGTTTTTCTACTTTTTGAACCGTTAGTATTTATACTACTTTTAGGATATATGTTCATTTATTAATTGTTTTTTAATTATTTTTTAAAACTTTTTTTGTTTTTTGTTTTTTTTTGTTTTTTTTTTTGTTATGTTTAATAATATATTAAAGTTAATAAAATGAGTGATTTTGTGTTTAATAATTTTATTTTTTAATTTTAATGTTTTTTTTTATTTATTTTTTTTAAAAAACAAATTCAAATTTAAAAATTAATTTTTTTACATTCTTTTTTTAACGAAAAAAAAAAAAAAAAAAAAATGAAAAAAAAAAGAAAAGAAAAAAAAAAAAAAAATGAAAAAATAAATTATATAGTTTTTAATAGTAAAATAAAAAAAGTTATTTATTAAAATATTAAAAGAAAATTATTAAATAATATTATATATATAAAAATAAGTGTATATTTTTTATTATATTAGTAATATGTAAAAAACTAAAAAACTAAGATAATTTAATAAATGTATTATAAAAAGATATAATTTTAAGTTATAAAATTAATAGATTTTAAATATTATTTAAAATATGTGGTCTCTTAATAAATAATATTTATTTATATAAAATAATTTATCATTTTTTTAATTTATATTTGAACTTTCTATATATATATAAAATAATAATAAAAAAAAGCAATTTAAATTTTAAATCAATTTTTTTTTTTTTTTTTTCTGTTTTTTAATATTTGAATTTTATTTTTTCAGTAAAAAATAAATAAATATTTGTTTTATAATAATTAAAAATAATTTTAATTAAATAAATGCAAATATATTTATTTATTAGTTAAATATTTTAAATAATAATCTTTTTTTTTTTTTTTCTTATTTAATAATTATGCCAAAATAATAATTAAAAATAAAAAATAAAAGAATCTATTTATATGAAATAAACTCTTTCATAATAATAATTTCATAAATCATAAAACCA